GCACGTGAAACTGTAAGCATTATTGACGAAAGACAAATCTTGGATCAACCAGGGCCATCAGGAGTTGTAAATTTGTCTACAACTTCTGGTGTTGTACAAGGACTTGGAAAGGATGTTCCTTTCTCCCCAGAAGCAATTCGTCCCTTTCCAAAGGCACCACCACGGAGTGGAACGACCAAGAGATGTCGTAGAAAATCCGCAATTTTAACAGACACTCCTGAGAAACAAGCCCTGGCAGAAGAGCAAAGCAAAAAAAGGAAGGTAAGCATTGATAATGAAGAAGTAAGAAAAAATAAAGGAAAGGGAAGGGTAAAGAGAAATCAAGGGAATAAAATAAAAGGGAACGACAAGAGAACGCTAAAAGGAAAAGGAAAGAGGAAGTCCATTAAACGACAGGTTGTACAAATGAGCAGTGAAAGTTCTGAGAATGAAGAGGATAGTTTAGAGTATTATTGTTTAGTCTGCTGTGACCGTTACTCTAACTCACGTTCTGGTGAAGAATGGATCCAGTGTCAAGAATGTAAGACATTTACAACTACAAAACTCATTTTTCAGTGTTTTCCTTACTATAGTTATTATTAATTTTTAATGTATTCTTCCTTCTTCGTGCCATATCAGATTACTGACGTCGGTGACACCCAGCGCAGATTAATAATACGCCAAGGTGTTTACTAGGGAAGGTTAGTACCCAGAGTGGTTTCACGTTGCCTTCTCTGGGGCACAATGTTACGCGAGGGGAAAGAATGCCTTCCAGGAGGACTTTTATGGGGAACTGGCCTCCTATTTAGTCGTTAACAGCAAGGAGAAAACCCGGAAAACTCCAAGCAGCCAGCCTGTCCGATCGCGGCGCAAACCCACGACCGAACTCCCAGTGTTTAGGGTACGAAGACCGCTCGGCCACTGGTGGGCACCTTTAATGTATTACTTAGCTTTAATTTGAGTATGTTTTTCGTGTTGGAATGAATTATTTGGTTTTACATGTAATCGTATGGGGAAAAATGATTCACCTTACGACATTTTCATGATACGATCTCAGTGTCGGAACGGATTAATTTCGTATCCTGAGGTACCACTGTATCTAAAAAATTAATTGATTTTAAATTAGGAGAGCCAAATTGAGAGATTTAAAAACGTCTTTTTTTAATCAAAAAATACCTAATTTTAAGCAAAAATGATCCAAATTTTAATCACAAACACTCAAAAATTAGCAAAAATTAAAAAAAAAGAAAAATCTCCCAAAATTTTCCCAATTCTCAATAACTTTCTGGACAGCCATATTGGGAGATTAATAAAACTCTAATTTTTATCAAAAACTCCATTAATAGTAGTACAGTAGAGCATCGATTATCCAATCCCCGATTAACCGTCACATTGGTTAACCGACTGTTCTAGTCGGCAAATTTCAAATGTCCGCTAGTGATGTGGCACTACAATATTTGGCTATGTAATACTTGGCTGCTTTAATATTATTTTTGTTAAATTTTTGCATGTTTTAGCTGGCAACACGGCTCGACCATTGAAGGGAGGCCATTTGAACGAGACTTAATTTTCTAATTATGAATGGTTGTTTGTTTTGTGAGCAATAAAATAATTTTAAAATAATTTTTAACGATATAATAGCAACAATTATTATTTAAAAAAAAAAATTGTTAGGCTTAACATTGATGAAAATTCAACACGAAGTTGGTTAATAGCGATATACTAATATACTAATTACATGAGATATACTAATATACTATACTAATAATGTATTTTTTTCATTTTTTTCGGTCATCCAATTTTTCCAGTTATCCGACCAACCTGAGTCCCCAATTGAGTTGGATAATCGATGCTCTACTGTATAAGTTTGACACTCTAATCACAAAATTAATTTTTCTAGGTAATTCAATATAAATCTTGACATACTCTAATCACAAAATAATTTTTTATCAGATCACGACTACAAAATTAATTTTTAGATAATATCAACTGGATATATACTTACAATTCATCTTGTTGAAACTTCTAATGAAAAATATTACGGTTGAGAATATTACTCGAGTAAATTATATAAGTGGAATTATTTCAGATCACAATTTCAAATAAAATTAAATTGTTCTGATAATATTTTTATTACTATAAAATTAAGTTGCATTGATAATTTTAATATTAAGTTGCATTGACAAAATTTTGTCAATAACAAGTTTTAATATAAATATTTTTTCAGAGTGAGTGGTAATTTGAAATAATATAACACTAAAATTATTTTGAAAAGGTTTTTATTGATAAGATTACACAAATAGTTTTATTATTAATACTGGAAGTAAATTAAGATTATAGAATAAAATGGAATTATTTTCAGATTACAAATACTTTTATTATACTTTTTAAAATAATAACAACACAGAAATTAATTTGAAATTTTTTTAAAATACAGTTTATTTTAAGTTTTCTTTAAGTGTTTCTAGTTTTTCCTTCAGTTTATTTAAAGTAAGACATATTTCTGCCAGTAAGTGCTAGAATAAATTTTTGCAATGAGAGTTCTTTTCATTGTGAGTTCTTCTTCTGTTGGTGTGCCACTGTGCTGTGTATCAGTGTTTGTTTTGGTACTAATTTGTCTGTAAAAGTTTTTTCGTTGTTTGTAAATAACTTATTTTGTTGTTTTTGTAGTGTACATGTTTTGTATCGTTTGAGTCTACGTGCTTTAGCTGCGAGTTTTTGTTTTAGTGTATCGATGTATTCTGTAATGTGTGTGTTGTGATGTTCTTGAAAATGTTTTTGAGTTGTTTCTTTAATTTGGGTGTTATGTTGTTTTTAGTGTATTGTGTCAGCCTGCCTAATTGCTGTCTAATGTCATTTATTTGTGTTTCTACTAATGTCATTTATTTGTGTTTCTGATAGAATTGTGTTTTGTGT